ATGACAAGGATAAGTCAATACATATCAGTTATAATCATCAATGTAAATGGTGTCAATTCACCAATCAAAAGAAACAGACTAGGAGAATGGATCAAGAAGCAAGATCCAACAATATGCTGCATACAAGAAACACATTTAATTCACAAAGAAATTCACAGACTGAAAGTCAAAGGCTGGAAAACAATACTCCATGGAACAGGAACACAGGAAGAAGCAGGAATAAGTAGTCTCTTTGTAGACAAAGTGGATTTCAAGACAAGGCTAATTAAGGGAGACTAAACTATATCCTCAGGGCTTTTTTTAGACAAGATCTCATAAAGTTATCCCAGCTGGCCTTGAACTTGCTATCCTGCCTCAGCATCCCAAGTAGGTGGGATCACAAGTCTATACTATTGCACCTGGCCAAGCTGTAGTTCCTGGTAAAATGCAGCAGTAAGTTTGAGCCAACAGGTACAAATCAGTTTGTACAACTCATGGCTCTGCGCTCTGCTAATCCACAAGACCTCTGCACCTTCCACAGCAACTCTGAGGGGCTCAAAGAGTGCAGGTGTTCTGTGTTCTCAGGGTCTTATCAAATTGACCAGGAAGTTGCCAGACATGATGGTGCATGCCTGTAATTCCCAGCCCTTGGGAGGCTGAGGCAGGAGGATCACCAGGAGTTTGAGGCCAGTCTGGGCCACAGAGTGGGTCCAGGCTAACCTAAACTCACAGTGAGAGCCTGTCTCCAAAAAACAAAACAAATCACCAAAAAATAAATTGATCAGAGAGCATTACTGGGTCCCAATCGGGCTTTCTTCTCCATGAGATAAAAGATTATACTAAATGGTCATTTATGATACATCCTTTCCTTTTTTTCTATTCTTTTTTACTGGTTAACTATTATTTCAAATGATCTAGAAAGGAAGTGTGTGCATCCATTAGATACATCATTTTACACCAAAATTTTAAGATAAAAGCATTTTGTTCCTAATGCTTTGAGATTTACATAAAGGCAGTCAAGAGACAGTGACCCCTGAGGACATGTGTATCATAGCTACAAGGACTGTGACACTGCGTCAGTGACGTGTCATCCTGCCTGTCACTCTGGGACGAAGCAGCAGCTCGGCCACGCTGTTCCGGGCTGTGGCATCTCTGATGACAGGGCAGCTCTAGAAACCTGATGCAGCTTCCCACTCACCTGGCGTCCACCTCACCTCCAACGTGCATGAGGAAAGAGCCGTCGGGCTGCTTCAGCGAGTACAGGTACTGCAGAAGCTTCTCTCTGTAACGGCAGGGAGGGGCGGAGGAAGGCGATGGTGAGCGCAGTGCAGCAGGCGGAGCCCTTCCCAGGCCCGGCCCCGCCGGCTGTGGCGGTACCTGTTGATGACGTCGTACGCCTCCTCCGTGCCGATGATGCACAGGGCGTTGACGGCTGCGTACGTGGGCGCGAGGTGCGGGTGCTGACCAGGGCCCCCTCCGAAGCCCCCGTCTGGGCTCTGGCACAGCTCCAGGAACTGACACACACTAGGTACGTGGCCAAAGCGAGAAACAAAGTTGAGAGCATTGATTTCAAAACAACAAATTTCACCAAAGTCCACATCTCTCTACTTATCTCCCCTCCCTCAAAAGGAAAAAACAATCTGCCCCCAAAAGCCTCAGCTCTCTACACGGTTTGTATCATCAGGTTTGTAGAGGCTCCTGCGTTTTGTATTTCAGCATTTGCTCCTGCATTCTGTATTTCAGCATCCCAGAACACAAGCTTTAGACTGAGCTTCTCCCAGCCTTTTCACTCCGCTCGCAGCCCTGGATCTGGGATACCAGTCTCCTTCCTCTGGGGACCCCACAGCCTGTGGATTTTGCTTAGTACCTACTGCTCAACTGCTTCCTTCCACACTAGCCACCCTGCCTCAATCCGACGCTGAGGCCTCCCCGGAACACTCTGAGATGCCTCTGGAGCCCACTGCTACCTGTGTAGCACTGCCGCTTCCTGTCCCCATTCCAGTAAGAAGCTCCCCTCTGCAGCTGCGGGGAGGAGAGGAGGCTGGCGCCATGCTCAGACACGATAGCAGTGCCATAGGAGAACACTGCAGTTTGTGAGGGCCTAGAGCGGTTTTCACACCTACCAAAAAGGGGTCCTGTCCCCTCATGGAGGGGTTTGCCTCCGAGCATGCCATCAAGACTTACATTCTTGCTTTAGGTGACATCAAGAGAGCCCCTATTTGTCCAGGGTCCTCTGAAGTTCCCTGGAAGGGAGTGTTCCAAGAAGACCCCACTGACCAAGTTGTCTGCCTGCGACTCAGCAGGTCAGTGTTACGGGAAAAACCTGCACTTAAGAGATCGCACAGCAGTCCCTTCCCACTGTTTCTTTCTAGTGCTCAGCCCCCACCCTTTTTTCTGAGACAAGGTCTCACTATGTAGCCCAGACTGACCTCAAACTTTCAATCCTCCTGCCTCAGCCTCCCAAGTGCTGGGCTTAGCGGCGCACACCACCACATTTGATTAGGGGCTTCTTTTCCGAGCTGTTTCATTATTTCTTATTCACTGCTGCCAGAGAGCCCATACAGGCTAAGCTCCATGAAGATTCCAGTTCACCTCGTCATATTTGATTACTTCATTTCAGACCTTCTACCTTTGGGGCAGGGACAGCAACAGAAAATGCTCCTGCCTTGCCATTTCAGTTTGGAAATCTCACAGGTTAAAGCAATACCCATTCGCTT